CATTATTGGTCGCCGGGTTCACTAGCGAGAACCTGTGACCTAAGAAGGGACTTTAAGGCGACGGAAGATTGAAGATAGTCAGGCTCTCGTTCTGGCATGCGGAGTAATCCAGGCCCACCCCAGGCCCCGGTGGTCTGGAGTTCCTACTCGGCGGCAAAATTGTTGTTGCCTGCCGTTGCAGGTGGTGGTGGGGTTCCTACTCTGGCTGCAAAATTGTTAAACGGCCGTTGCCCCCAAATGTTGTCGGCCGTTGCAGGTGGTGGTGTATACCGCCACCTGATTAATAAATGCTGTCTTGACAGAACAGCAGCGTCCTATTGGACGGGTGGGTGGTTGCTTTGCAATTTGTTGCCGGCGGTGGAGTCTTGCTAATTATCTTCAATCGAACCTCGAGCTTTTGGGTAATGACACTACTAACGCTAATGCTAATGCTAATACGCCAAGACTAATTAATATGAATTCGAATACTAATAATAATACTCCCTCTGTCCCATATTATATGTCTTTTTAGAGAGTTTTTTTTGTCCCAAATTATTTGTCATTTTACATTTTCAATGAAGCATTAATTGCATTATTTTTAATTTTTACCCTCAAGCACTCCTAATTAATTAGTTGAAAATCAATTAATGTCGAGGATATTTTTGTAATTTTATCTGTTTTTTACTATAATCTATGCACATTTATTGATTTTCTTAATATGTGCAAAACAACTCAAAACGACATTTAAATTGGGACGGAGGGAGTACTAATTATTATAAGGGATCTGGGTTCTTTGGCTGGGGGTATTACAAGGGATGGGTTGTACCATTTTGTACGATGTTGGTTTGCTTGAGTTAACCATCCTGGACTGTTGGGCCCACCCATTTAATACCCCATTCGAATTATTGTTAGTCAAGCCAAAGTTGGCTTGACTAGTTATCACATATGGAATCCTCTTTTGTAACCCATGCGCAATGTCTTAAATATCCTTCAAAAATACATCAATTACGAAATTAATAGGTATAAATACTACAATCTTCATCTTCCCCTTTCTTGCAGTCGTGCCCTAGTTTTTTTCTAGGTAAAAACCCATATGAACAAAATAAAAAAAAATAACCGCACCTCACTACTAGAAAATTGAGTTTTTGTGACACTCTATTGTGACGGTATTTTAAAGCCGTAGTTATAGGATATCTGTTAAGACGGCTAATAGATAGGCGTATGAGTAAATATACTTTTTTATTTTTTTTTGGCTTTATTTAATTTTCAAGAGCCCTATATTATGACGCTTTTGAGTTAGTCGTCTCGATATATACAGATATAATGAGACGATTGCATAAACCGTCATAACATACGGGAATAATGGCGTCATTATAATTGGAGGAAAAAAATACCGCGGAAATTTCTATTTTTTTCCCCTAAAATAATTGAAATTGCTGCTAAATTAATGCCCATTTCACTTACAAAGGAGAAAAAAAAGATTTCTGCCAAATCCCTAACCCTTTCATATCCCGTTTTCTTCTCGCTTTTCACCAAATCCCTAACCCTTTCATTCCCCGTTTCCTTCTTCCTTTTTGTTCAATCGGCGGTGCACTCCAGCCCGGTTTCTTCTTCCTTTCGTGCAAACGGCGGTACAGGTGCCTGTGAATTTAATTTAGTTTGAGAATTTCCCCGTCATCTGCTTTGATTCTTAACAATCAAAATATGTGATGATTTCTGGACAGGTATATTAAAATTACTGAAGAACTCTGGTAGGTAATATAAGTCTTTGTTTCATGACCTAAATATTTTGTTTCAAAATTATTTAATAATTTTTTTTCTCGAACAAAGTTGTATGATCTTTCGTCTACTTCATGAATTTGGTGCACCTTAAACGAAATTAGAGTGGATTGGGTGAGATTTGGTTCAACGTGGGTATTGGGTGAGATTTAGTATGGTGATGTAAAAAAAATCTGATTACACTGAAAGAAAGGTTAAGGGATGCACTTATTAAAACTTTGGAATAAATTCATAAAATAATAGAATATAAATTCACATGTTAATGCTGGTTAAGATATTTCTTTATACTTTTTTTTTTTTTTGAATTTCTTGGAAAAATTCATTCATTTATTGTTTCAATTTTTTGTTGCTGTCTGATGAAGATTTGGGATTATCATACTGTGATTTCTGAAATTTATTGTTTGGAAATTAACTTCATAAATTAAATATTGTGTTTGAAATTTTCATACAGGCTAATTTGTGAGATATTAATTTCCCTATCTTGAAGCTATTTTACTCAAAGACAGAAGGTGTTATACAGGTTTGAATAAGAAATACCAGAAAAATTCTATTCCTTAACTTTGTATTGCAGTTTGTCTCCACCCATATACATATATATATATATATATATATATATATATATATATATATATATATATATATATATATATATATATATATATATATATATATATATATATATATATATATATATATATATATATATATATATATATATATATATATATATATTCTTATTGTCTATTGTAATAGTTGCCTTTCCAGTCGAAACGATTAGCATGGATAGAAAATGGATGGATTCCCCAAGGTCAAGCACAGAGTATCAAACAGGATTGCATAGTTTTCTTAACTTTGCCTTCTCAAATTCAAACGATGGGCTAATCTTGTGCCCCTGTAAGAAATGTAGAAACGGTATTTGCAAAACACGGAAAGTAGTAGTAGAAAATCCAGTGGATCACTTAGAAGAAAATCATGTAGAAGATACATAGGACGTGCTCAGCTGCATTTAGTATTTACTGTTTTGTATTAGAGTTATTCTTTCTTATAATGATAATGAATGAGAATTTCTTTTCATGGACAATAACAGTAATGAATCATTATACTATTATTCATCTTTAGATAGTATTTATGGGGCAATTTTATTAATTTATTGATTATAATTACTAGTTTTAATAACTTTTCACTGTTAAGATTGAATTTACAGTTTGTAATATTTCAGGTATGGCAAGAACGAAGAATGGCATGCTGGTATCTGCTGGAACTCTAGATCAGCAGAATGGAGATACAGCAGAATGGAGATACCTCAAGATACGGGCCCGGATGATATATTTTCTCAAGTTGCTGGGCAAGATAAAGGGGGAAGAGTAAAGATGTACGGAAAAGGTGTCACTGCATCTATTGTATATGGTGATTTGCCTAGGCAAGGTAAATATGCTCACACGTATATGGGAAATAAAAATGAATTTGAAGCAATGAAGCAAAGACTTGATCAACAAGATAAGCTTATTATGGAGCAGAGTAAACAAATACAAGAGCTGATAAAAATGAACAAACAAAGATTAGCACCAGAAGCCACCAAAGTTGTTTCAGTATCTTCATCTCATGATCATTCAATCTCTCGTCGTCCTTCAGTATCATCCTCTAGCATGATGCCTTTATGGGTAAGCTAACTACGAATCTCATATATATATGTATATTTTATTTATTACAATCAGTTTTTATGTTAATACTTTGTTTACGATTAAAAAGTTAATTTTTATTTTGATTGTTTTCTTATAACTTTGTATGTAGTTGAAAAGTCAAGTAAAACTCGATAAATATTAATTGCAGGTCGGAGCAAAAGTATCTATGAGAAGTTTGATTGAATCATCCAAGACTGTGGCTATTGGTTATATTCGGAGCTTAGATCCATTAAAAGAAGTTGGACAAATGCGTTTAGGACAAAATTGGTGTGAGGTTCACATTAATGTAGGAGTTAAACCAGAAGAGGAGTTACTTCGCCCTGTTTACCATTTTAAAACTATTGGCGAGGTTACTGGAATGACGGTTGCTTGGCCACAATATTTGGTAATAATCTCGTTTATATGATCTTATCAATAATATTATATTTTAAGAGTGTTTTGATTTCAGTTTAATTGGTATTTCTGATAATTTTAATAGGTAATTATGGATGCATAAAGAATTTTGAAGACGTCGTATTTTTGGATACATTTGGAGATTAGATTTTCTTTTTTTTTTTTTGGTGTTGGATTACTTGTTATTTTTTTTTTTTTTGAGAGAATTACTTGTTATTCAGACATTACAAAATGAATGATTTTAGATTGTGAAACTTCTCTTTTCTATTATATTGTAGGCTAAGGATTTATTTTGTTTGTTGATGGAGATTGAATATGGTTTTTTTGTATTTGAGTTCAAACACGGTTTCTTATGTATTATGTATATACATGATTAATTATATGTAAGTAGGGGACATTAAAAAATGCAATCAGTAAGATATTACAAATACCTATTGAGACAAGTTGAACAGTCACTATAGGGTTATTCATTAGGCACAAAGCGTCATTATAGATATATTCATGAGACACAAAAGCATCCTAGAAAGTCTCTGTTGAGACGAATAAATCGTCACAAAAAACCACTTTATGGGGCAGAGAAGTCGTCACACAATCGAGTGTATTAAGACAACAAAAAGCGTCGCAATATAAATATTTAAAGACGCCCTATAGCGTCAAGATTTCTACATTTAGAGACGCTAAAAACCATCACGATATCAACATTTAAAGACGCTCTTCGGCGTCATATAAGTAGATTGTTATGGTAGTTGAGGATTAATAAAGTGACGCATGTAATCGTCACGATACATCCATATTTGTGACGACAAAAGCGTCATACTAACAGTCTTTTCGTGATGCCTCCAATCGCCACAAAAACTTATCATGACGGCCACCTATGCGACGCTTTTAACTATCGTCGCAATAGACTAAGAGTCACGATAGGTGGCTGTAGTGACACATATAGGCGTCACGATAGGTACTTTTTCTAGTAGTGCCTTCTTCCTCCTTCCCAATCTCACACCTCGTCACCACCTTCCTTGTGCAAACCCAATTTCTCTACTACTCTCAATTCCAACCACCGCAGCCCCACCCACCACCACCGTCCTCCTCCTCTCACATCTGCAATCAATCACTTCCCGTAACAGGAATAAAAAAAAAATGCGCCCCAATTTCAACAATCAGAATCATATGGGGATTGATTACTACAACATCCTGAAAGTGAACCGCAATGCCAGCGACGAAGACTTGAAGAAAGCCTACCGCCGCCTCGCCATGATTTGGCATTCTGACAAAAACGCCAACAAGTAGGAGGCTGAGGCCAAATCCAAGCAGATTTCCGAAGCCTACGATGTACTCAGCGAAGCGCCAGATCTACGATCTCTACGGCGAAGAGGGCCTGAAATTGGGCTAATTCCCCCCTCCATCGCAGCTCTCATGCCCAGAACCAGAGTTTCTACTACAACAACCACCATCAGCATCTGAACCCTAATTTCCAATTCAATCCGAGGAATGCCGACGATATTTATGCCGAGATTTTTGGGGAGAGCAGTAACGGGAACGCCGCTGGTAATACTGCTAGCAGCAGCAGTAATGGAGCCAGGAAAGATGGGTATTTTAGGAACACGACGATGAACGACGGTGGAGCTAGAGAATTTCCTGGCGGCGGCGGCGGCGGAGGATCCAGGAAGGCGATGCCGGTGGAGAACGCGCTCATGTGTAGCTTGGAAGAATTGTATGCTGTTCTACTCGGAGATGAAGATTTCAGGAATGTAATTGATTCTCATGGGTATGTTTAAAGTTTACTGATTTTAAATTTCCATTAAAGTTTTTTTCTTTTAAATTCGATCATACAATTTTTTTGGGATAATTATTTGCTCGAATTCCTCAGCGGCTTTTAAATTGAAGATCTTTTAAATTGCCGCAATCACAGACATCGCGCTGCATCCCATATGAACAGAATTCCTCAGCGGCTTTGTTACGCGAATTCTTTCGAGAATTAATGTTGTTGTAGCTCATTACGAGATTTGATATAATTGTGATCCCGAGAAAAGAAAAAAAAAAACAAAGAGCAAATTATTGGAAAATTTAGGGTTTCTTCCGGAGAAGATTGTACCCAAATATAAATGAAGGAGAGGGAGATGTATTGGTAGAGAGAGAATCGATTAATTAATAAATGTAAAAAGGGGCAAACTGTAGCACCCCCTTCTTATCGGGCGATAAATCGAACCGGTTTATCGGAATATTCATTAAATTAGCGGAAGCAAAGGATCACTTTGTAAGTTTTAAAACTTTGGAGTGGGGCGAAAATGCATTTAACAAAAATATCTTCTTTTGGGTATTTGAAAACTTTGCATTTTCAAAAAAAAAACTTGCTAAGGTTACTATAGCCGAATAAAGGTTTCGTTTGGAAGTAAGTTTCGATGGGAGGTTTTCGTTCGAGTGCTACAGTATCACTATCGGTTTTCGGTTCGAGAAGAAATCAGAGTTTGGAAAGGTTATTTTGGTGAATAATTCGGAAATCACTAATGGAGGCATGAAAATAGCAAAATTATGAAACTTACTATATTATAATAGGGGTTAAGCACGATTCATGTCGGTAACGAGTTCAAAAGATACGAAAAGGAAAAATACGGAGGTTTATATTACATCACCACAAGAAAATAACCAAAAGACTTTAGCATCGTTCATAGATCCTCGTACGGCTTCCAACCAAAATCCGGGCAAGACCTCGATCCGCTACTTGACCCAGACCCATCCCGGTTGAGGATTACTAACACTACTACCTGCAATTAAAGGACATCTATATGAGCTATAAAGCTCAGTAAGAAATCCGAGTAATTATCGAACTTTGAAAATACGTTTTATATAATATTATATATTATATACCCATTCTTACCCACGTTTCTTACAACAACACAAGCCAAACGGTACAATCACATAATTCACGAAAACACATCTTTCGCACATAATCACGTACTTATGCAAAATGACTAAAATGCCCTTTTTATGAAAATCATGAAAAACACATTTTTCGTTTTATCGGATCCGTGAAAGATTAATTTCTGTACCTGAGTAATAAACCTGTTACGAGCCCGTTTTCACTAAGTGGAATCAAACCACAACACACATCATCCTAGTTGGATACCGACCCACTATATCCGAGTTGTTTATTACCCGATATTCCATTAATCTTTCAATTTAAAAATCATTTAATGCAACTTTTCGAAATCATGCTTATGACCCACACATAACATCACAAATATCAATCAAGTGCCACAAACTTACAAAAATATCACAATTTACCACATATTTATAATTTGGGCAAATATCCCCAAACTCACACATATAAACACACAACCACACACGGCACACACACCACATGCACAATCAGCACCCACACACACACCCACACATTCAGCACACAAGCATGCATCCAACACATTAAACATCACCATATAACATTAAACCATGCTTGAAAAGCAAGCACCCCCTTTTCACCTTTCATTTAATGAACTTATTACCACTTCTAGGTAATAATCGATTTCAATCAATCCTCAATGCAATTAATCCACATCCAGGCAGCAATTAAAAGTACAAAACCCCAAATCTCATCACTCATAACCATTAAATCAAAGACATAACCATAAAAGCACAAAACATAATAAATGACATGCAAATTGTCCTAATTTCGAAATAATAGCAAACTAATTCCAAAAATTCCCAAATTAAATCCTAGAACTCCCAACTGATCCAAATTTCAGATTCTGAAATCATTTTAAATTTTCATAAAGTTTCGAATTTTCTTGAAATTAAAACTAGAAAATCCTCCTTTTCTTTTAAAAATCAAAACCTCTAATATAACCTTAATTATTTTGAAAACCTTTGTAATGACAACTTTTCCCATTTAATACTTGCTGGAAAACAGATCCAAACTTAAGAAATGAAATATTTTTCGGAAATTGCAGTTTTGACCCAAAAGTTTCAAGATTTACACATGCAACCACACTAAAAGTTCAAAATCCACTTTTTCATGAAAAACCCCTAACAATCTGAAATTTTACTCTATTAGATGCAGAAAACGAAGTTGAAAAGTTACTTTATACAGAAATTTCGAAAATTACATATTTTACCCCAAAATCTCTAAATCTATACATGCAAGACCACTAAAAGTTCAAAAATCACTTTCTCTTGTAAAATTTCTTGAAATCCGAAATTTATGTTCAATAAATGCTGGAAAACAGTTTTGAAAACACATTAGGACTGACTTCACAAAATTTACAGATTTGACCCAAAACTTTTGAAGATCTACACATGCAACCACATAAAAGTTCAAAAATTTATTTTTCTCACAAGCCATTTTGAAACCCGAAAATTTTAATGCTTTTGGCCAATAAAACTTGTATCTACCCACTATCAACATAGATGATGCATGCAAGAACAAGAAATTAACAAGAAACACTTATTTTCCATTTTTCCCCAAAAAACCCTAAATTTTCGAAATCACTCCCAATCTTTTAAAAATTTTTGAAAACCATTTTAATACTATTGATGCCATTTAAATGCAGCAAGAAATCGGAATTTCTTACCTTAAATCGAAGATAAGAAAACAACCGAAGGAAGAGAGGATTCAAGCACCAAAATCTAACCAAGCTACTTTGATTGTGAATGAAATGGTGTGAGCTTCAAGGAGGGATGAGTTATTATCTCCCGTAAGGAGGCAAGTAGTTTTAATGGTGTTTTTGGAGTAATCTATAGCAAGGGTTCAATAGGGAACCTTCATTTTATTTTTGGAATTTTCTTTGACAATGGGAAGTGAGGTGGATGAAGAAGCTAGATGGCCGATGGTGGTGGTGATGGTTTCGGTGGGGAGAGGAGGAGAAGACAAGTAATTGGCTAGGTGTTGGAAGGAAAAAGATGAAGAGTGTCTCTTCATCTTACTAATCTCCTCTTGAGTGTAAAATTAGAGGAAATGATGGCAAATTGCCAAGTGGAAAGACATGCATAATTAGTACTAATTTATTTATTTAAATAAATTCAACTTGCATAACACAACACACACAATTCAGACACACACACACACACACACACACACACACACACACACACACACACACACATATATCTATATATATATATATATATATATATATATATATATATATATATATATATATGTATATATATATATGTATATATATATATGTATGTATGTGTCTATATATATATATATATATATATATGTGTATATGTATGTATATGTATATATATATATATATATATATATATATATATATATATATATATATATATATATATATATATATATATATATAATCACAATATAATTCACATAAGTCACGTAATTCACGAAATTCCTAGAATTTCAATTTACGGGAATTTAAATCATATAAATCACGCACGTAATTATTCTCGTAAGTAACATAATTAAATTCACGCAATGCATATAATTAATATCACGTAATAATAATACCTAAGGGTTCTCGAGTTAGAAATTTTAGTCTCGGGTTTTGGAAAGGTGGGGTGTTACAATCTCCCCCCCTTAAAGAAATTTTGTCCCCAAAATTGTTACCTGAACAACTCGGGGTAATGTTCGCGCATTTCTTCTTCTCGTTTCCACGTGGCTTCTTCGGGTGTATGGTTTTGCCAAAGGATTTTAACGAAGTTTAGGTTTCGGTTTCGAAGGGTTTTGGTTTTGGAATCAAGTATTTGGGAAGGTTTCTCTTCGTAGGAAAGGTTAGGGGTTAGTTCGATTGGTTCGGTTTTCAATATGTGGTCTGGACTGCGAATGTATTTTCGAAGCATCGAAACGTGATACACATTGTGAAAATTGGATAAATTGGGTGGTAAGGATAGTCGATAGGCGCGAGTACCGACTTTGTCGAGAATTTCGAATGGGCCAATAAATCGCGGTGCTAATTTTCCCTTTTTCCCAAATCGCATAATTCCTTTGAAAGGCGCCACTTTTAAGAATACGGAGTCTCCGATTTCGAATTCGAGATCTCTCCTTCGAGTGTTGGCATAGCTTTGTTGCCGATCTTGAGCAATTCGCATTTTCTCTCGAATGTTTTTGATTATGTCGATGGTTTGTTGGACTAGGTCGGGACCAAGGAATTTGCTTTCACCTATTTCGTCCCAATGGAGCGGGGACCTACACTTGCGGCCGTAAAGAGCTTCGTAGGGTGCCATTCCAATTGATGAGTGAAAGCTATTGTTGTACGCGAATTCGATTAGTGGTAGGCGGGATTCCCAATTTCCTCCAAAGTCGAGAATACAAGCGCGTAGAAGATCTTCTAGGGTTTTGATAGTTCGTTCGGATTGGCCGTCGGTTTGGGGGTGATAGGCGGTGCTAAAGTTTAATCGTGTTCTGAGGGTTTCGTGCAAACTTTTCCAGAATTTTGACGTAAATCGAGGGTCTTGGTCGGAAATAATAGTGGTGGGGACGCCGTGAAGTCGGACTACCTCACGGACGTATAGTTCGGTCAGCTTCTCTAAACTGAAGTTCATTCGGATCGGAAGAAAGTGAGCCATTTTGGTCAGTCGGTTAATGATCACCCAAATGGCGTCGGATCCCCTTTGGGTCTTCGGAAATCCTTGCACGAAGTCCATTGTGATAGCTTCCCATTTCCATTCCGGAATTAGGTTTGATTTAAGTAGACCTCCGGGTTTTTGATGTTCCGCTTTGACTTGTTGGCACACTAGGCATTCAACGACGAATCGGGCCACGTCTTTCTTCATTCCAGGCCACCAATAAAGCTTTTTGAGGTCTTGGTACATT